GAATTTGTGTGTTCATCTCGATAGAAATTGAAATTGTGTTATTTATGAAAGTATTGTGTGAATCATGATTTTAAATGTGTGATCTCATACATGTTGTATGTTCATATGATCATAGATTACTTCTTCCATTTGTAATGTACGGACACTAATTCTCACTATATTTATCATGTTGCTTTCTTTTTTACTAGTTTCGACAGCGCGAGCGTGTACTAGCCCATGTTAGAAATCATGATCCTCAACAATTGTATAATATTATCCACTTTGGGCATAAACTCTTGTGGCTTTCTGAGGATGTGTGTTTAATCCACCACATCTAAATGGTGTGAAAATTATCTTATTTATAATTAAATAAATTAGAAGGATATGAAAATATTAATAAACGGAAATAACACATAAATTAAAAGATACCTATTGTAATAGATATTTGCCTTATAATAAAATATCAAATATGATATATATGGTAAACTATAATTTATTGCTAAATATTCTTAAGAGAACCTCAATAGTGGTATAATATTGTCCACTTTGAGCCTAAGCTCTCATGGCTTTACTTACGGTTTTCTCAAAACACCTCATACTAATTGAGATAGTATTCCTTACTTATAAATTCATGATCAGCCTCTTAATTAGCCGATTTGAGACGCCTCTTCCAATAATCCTCAACAATCCTCCCTTCAAACAAAGTACATCATACAATCTTTCCTAAGGCCTATGGAGCCCTCAGATAGTTTTCCCTTCATCGAGGCTCGACTCCTTTCTCTAAATCCCTTGAACAAAGCAAAGTACACCCTTTGTTCGACACTTGAGTTACTTTTGACTACACCTTCGAGGCTAGCAACTTCTTTGTTCAACACTTGAGGATTCGATTAGCATAACTTTGATACCATAGTGTTGAACACAACTCTTTGTGGAAAACACTTACCCTCTTTATTAACACCAATTGAGAAGAAATTACTAGACATTCAGTAGAATACTACACTCTACTCTAATTGAGATTGTTTGTGTTTCTTGGGATGAAATCTTTGGTAGGATGGAGGGGTATTTATCTGGTTAGACAATTTATTCGTAAAATACCTTAATTATTTTCTTAAAATACTTAGATATGTTTATTTCTAAAATACCTAAATCATTTTTCTAAAATACATAGACAACGAGTTCATCCAATTACTGAGCTTGCCTCTATTAGGCTAAAAGATACGTTAATGAGTCTAGCTAGTGGACCTATGTACATATGTATGGACCATGTGTAGAGAAATATAAAGTCGAGCATATTGTGGATTTATGGTACGTTAGTTTTCCAATTTTTCTTAGATTTCACCTGAGAGAGTGAGGGAAAAGTTGATTTTTGGCGTAGGTTTTTTGTGCTTTTATTTTCATTTGAATTAGTTTAAAACGTAATGACAGTTTTATTGGGATATTAATGATTTATTATTTAATTTTTGAAAATAAAATATATTTATTAAATAGCATATACAAATAAAATTATTTTTTGTTTTTATTTAAATCCAAAAAAGAAAAAGGTTGAAGATGTGGATTTAGCAATTTGTGGGCCTTTGGTTGGGCCTGGCCCAGTTCCAAATATATAGAGGACTTCTACGAAAATAACAAATAAGGAACAAAAAAGTTGGAGATGCGGGGTATCGAACCCCGTACCTCTCGCATGCAAAGCGAGCGCTCTACCATGTGAGCTACATCCCCACTGTTTAATAATTTTACTTTTTTATATTTAAAATAGTTATTATAAAAAAGTAAATTTGACAGTAAAAAGAGTATTAGTTCTCCTTGGCCTCTCTCTCTCTCTCTCGCTTTGGTTTATGGTTGGTCTCCTTGGTCATTCAACTAAACTATAATAGATTATTCCATTTTTTAATTTAAAGAATTGAAAATCTGGAATAAAATCCAAGCTTGAAGAAGCGGTTAGAACTGACACGTTAATCAACCGAACATAAATTTAAGGTGTTTTAGAGGTACTATCATGAGACTTAACCACAATTTCTGTTCAGACTTACTTACCTAGTCGTACCGGGTGTACTGTCAAACTGAATTCTCAACAATTTATAATTATATCCTAAATTTTGAGAGTTATATGAATTAAAATCTAAAACTAATAATTATATCAATTTAAACTATAAACTTTTCATTACTAAATTAATTTAAATCATTTACTAAAATTTTAAATTTATTAATTTAAAATCTTCACAATTGAGTGAATGAAATAATATCGTTAATGAAACAATAGAATGAGATAATAACGGTTTTCATTAAATTTGAGCATTTAAAAAAAAAAAATTGAATAATATGATATTTTAATTATCAATATTACACTCGAAATGGACGGTTGTAATATGAAGTCACCTACTTAGCATAACTAAGGAGGTATACATAAAGTTCAAACGTATTAATTAATTTATGTTGTTTTGTGATCAATAAGATAGAGTGTGTGCCCTACATGCAAGTATGTGGGCATAATTAGGGTTGAATTTTTGGCATATTCTCGTCTAGACTAAGGAAAGTGCGCCCCAAATTTAGCCTCACTCATCGTATCCTCTGAATTGCACACAATGATGCACCCTAAGGAGTGAGGGTTGCAAGCAACCCACGACATTACTCATCGTGGCATCAACGATAGCGATATTTGAAAGTTTATAACAAAGCGCATGTTGGCACTTCTCAATTGGTCACCATTGTGGCAACCATTGCTTTGATGCTTCCTTGATCTTCTTGCAACTTCACTTCTCTCTCTACCCACTCCCAGTTTGAAGTCACTTACCTTAGGCACTCAGGGAGGAGTGACTCAAGAAAGAAATACACATGTTCTCCCACTTTAGGATTGCTTATTAATTTATTCATATTATAATTAATGTATTTAAAAATAGTATAAAATATTGGCATGCTTGCTTTCTTAAACAGAAACTAAATAAAATAATAAAATAAGAATAAACAAAGTAATAAAAAAAATTGTAAACAAAATAATAAAATAATAGGTTTAAAAATAGTATAAAATATTAACTTATTTTTTTAATAGGATAAGTCTATAAAATAAAAAATGATATTAACTTTCTCAATCACAAACTAAACAAAATAATGGAACAAAGTGTAAACAAAATAATAGAAAAAAAGCTATTAAACCTCAAACCAAATGGAATAAACTCTAATGCTATCTAATCGGTTCAATTAGATTAGTTTGAGCCATTGGGTTCAATGTACACTCGAATATTTATATGTAGTAGAGAGAAAAGAACATTGTCGATTTGTTGGTCACTACACTATTGTCTTTGTTAGGCTATAAACATTTGAGGTTCAAATTTACGTTTCAAATTTTTCATACTTACCATCTTCAAAGTTTTTTTAAACATATTTTTCAAATCTTTTTAAGATAAAATAAAGTAATAATGTTCATCTTCTTTACAAAAATGAGCAGTTATTTCATTGAACCATTGTCCAGTATATGTAAGAAGAACCAAACAAAAATAATTTATTTCTTTAGAGAATATCTTATCAACTTTGTTTATCGTTTTCATATACATTAAATAAACTTTTGCAAATTATGGGAAGTAACAGTCAAAATGATTATTATTAATAAAATCTAACAAAAGGGGATGTAGCTCACATGGTAGAGCGCTCGCTTTGCATGCGAGAGGTACGGGGTTCGATACCCCGCATCTCCATTATTTTTATCTTCCTTTTTTGTTCTTTTCGGAAAAGGCTCTATCTATTTGGCACTGGGCCAGCCCAACTGCTAAATCCTCGTATTTTTTTCGTTCCATTTATTTTATTTTATTTTCTAGTGATACTTTTAATTCTATTGATTTAGTTAATTAAAAAATAATACCTAATTTAAATAACATGGCATCATTTAACAAATCTTAATAATAATAATAATAATGAAATCTAACTCAATAATTTATTTGATAGCAATAACAATTAACTTAAAAGACTCTTAAAAGCAATTTTACATCATAAGTTCAATAAAATAAAATAAAAAAATACTTTTTATATCTCTTTTAGATTTCATTTATGCAATAACTAATTATGATCATAAGGTATGATAGTTATAACTCTCGAAATGTCTCATGAAATATCAAAAGTTTTCTTTTGAGACTATATAAATGCATATATGTTGTTCTTGTAAAATATATTTCAAAAACGTAGTAAAAAGAGTATCTATGCTTTCTTTTAACCTAGAGCTAAGTTTCTTTGCAATTCTATGTACTTAAGATGCATGCTTTGAATTATTTAAATTTGGTTGGATCAATCTTGGTTGTGGTACCCAAGGAATTCCCAGTAATTTAAATCGGTTAGCCCAAGGTCATGAAACCTGTGTCACACCCCTTTTTAAAAGTCATGAAACCTGTGTGAAGGTAGTCACATATAGGTCTGTTAAATAGTCCTTTAAGTTAGTTCATGACATTTTTTACTATGAACATTTAAGCCTATGACATCATTTACTAGTGTATGTCTTAAAAAAAATTTCTATACATCAAAATCATGACATGCATGTAGTTGCGGGTTTATTTCAGAAGTAAAAATAGGGGCGTTACATTAACTATAATCACACATACATACATGCATGACTGTGATACTTGTAACGTTAACATACTAATAGTATACTAGTGGACAAAGTGTTGTTTTTTTTTTTATTTTCCTTAAAATGGTCAAATTAATAAAAATATTCAAAATTTTGGTTAATACTCTTATATTAAAAAAAGAAATAAAAAATAAATTTATGGAAAAGGAGAAAATTTGAAGTGTAAGAAGAAAACAGTTGGGTGCCCAAAGATTTCTCCAATCCCCACATCGTTTTCTCCGAAAATAACCTACAAACTTCGCGAACGTCCCATGTTGTCCCTTTCCCAACCAACTAAACTACTCGACACTTCCCTGCCATTCACACAAACTCACACCCAAACCCCATAATTTCAATACTCTCCATTATCTCTTCCTCCTCCTGGGCCCATTCCTTCAACAACCACGACGACGACGACGACGACAATCCCTCCACCATGCCCATTCTCCTGCCTTCCCTACTGCTCTTCCAAGCCTTGTTTCTTGCGCCTCTTCATGCCGCCCAATTCAACTACAAGGACGCTCTCACCAAATGCCTTATTTTCCTCGAGGCTCAGAGGTCCGGCAAGCTCCCTCCCAACCACCGCCCCCCTTGGCGCGGCGACTCCGCCCTCGACGACGGCAAGCTTGCCAATGTTCCCACTCCTTCCCCTTCTTCTTTTTTCTTTCCATAATTAACCCTTCTCTCATTTACGCCCCCCCTGTTATTGGTGCTTCCAGGTAGACCTCGAGGGAGGGTATTATGATGCTGGAGACAACGTCAAGTACGGCCTTCCCATGGCTTTCACCGTCACTACTCTTGCATGGGCTGCTTTGGCTTACCCGGCCGAGACCCAAGCCGCCGGTGAAATGGAAAATCTTAAAGCTGCCATCCAATGGGGTACCGATTATCTTCTCAAGGCTTCTTCTCGCCGCAATCGTTTCTACGTCGAGGTAATTTAATTTAATTTAATGCTCGTAAGAATGATTCTCTAACACGATGTTGTTAAGAATGAAAAATCATATTATAAGAATGAAAAATCATATTACATTTGTTGAAGGTGGGGGACCCAGTTAAGGATCATGAGTGTTGGATTAGGCCTGAAAATATGAAGACTCCCAGGACTGTGCTGCAAATTGATCGTACCACTCCTGGTACAGAAATTGCTGCTGAAACCTCTGCAGCTATGGCTTCTTCTTCCATCGTTTTTAGAAACTCTAATCGAACCTATTCTCGTCGTCTTCTCAACAAAGCTAAATTGGTATAAACTCTTTAACCTCATTTTGTGTCGGTTCGTTTGTTGACATAGCTGGTTTTGTTTTTCTTTGCAGCTTTTTCAGTTTGCTAAAATGAACCGGGGAACTTATGATGGAGAGTGCCCTTTCTATTGCTCTTACTCCGGCTACAATGTAATTTTCCTTCTTTTTCTTAGTCATAGTCATATTGTGTCTGCCTCTTCCAAACCGACTCTGAATTCAAACGTAGATATTATATTTCACCCTTTATTATGTGTGATATTTAGCATTCCATTACAGTTTAAGATAGATGTCGCATTTAACCATTTATTATAGTCAAATATCTAAATTGTAATGAGCGTTGAAATGACCGAAAAAGATATATGAATTAATATTTTCTTAATTTTATTGTGTCGTGTCGGCCTCTTTGAATAATTCAGGAGTTACCCGTGTAGGATGAGTTGTTGTGGGCTGCTACATGGCTATACATTGCAACGAGGAGGCCAGCTTATTTGAAGTACATTACAGAAGAGTCTGTTAGTGGCAGTGTAGCTGAATTCAGCTGGGATCTCAAATATGCTGGCGCTCAAATTCTTCTTTCCGAGGTTCTTTATAATGTTTTTAATACCCATTTCATCAATTTACATATCGTATTTGTCATCCTTCAAAACAACCACAGATCTATTTTCAAGGAGAGAAGGGGTTACAGATGTACAAAAACCAGGCCGATAGCTATATTTGTTCCAATCTTCCAAACAGCCCTTACCACCAAATTTATCTATCTCCAGGTCTTTTATCTCTCTCTCTCTCTCTCTCTCTTTGTCCTTCTATGTAAGTAATATCAATGAATTCAAGTATGGAGCTAACTTCCTTGAAATTCATAGGTGGAATGGTTCACATGAGAGATGGAGCCAACACGCAATACGTTACGGGAACCGCGTTCTTGTTTAGTGCTTATAGCGATATCCTTGCAACCCATCAACAAACGGTTCAATGCGGCGGTCAGCAGTTCGACTCGACTCAACTCATGACGTTTGCCAAGAAACAGGTACTCCCTTGTTAGGAACTACGAAATTTCATAATGGTACGATATTGTCCACTTTGAGTATAAGTTCTCGTACCAATGGTGATGTATTCAAACCCTTAGTTAGCATATGTGAGACTTTTCTCCTAACAATCCTCCCCTTGGACAAAATAAACCATAGAGCCTCCCCAGACAGCCTCCCCTTAATCGAGACTCGACTCCTTCTCTGGAGCTTTCGAACAAAGTACACCCTTTGTTTGAGAGTTGAGTCACTTTTGACTGCATCATCGAAGCTCACATGATGACTAAGTTAAGAGCATGACTCTGTCACCATGTTAGGAATCACGGATCTTCACAATTGTATGATATGATGTTGTCTACTTTGAACATAAATTCTCGTGATTTTACTTTTGATTTTCTCAAAAGACCTCATACGAATGAAGATATATTTCTTATAAACTCGTAATCAAATCCTTTAATTAGCTCACTTAGGGTTAGAAGAGTAAAGATTTATTTTTTTTAGATGGATTACCTGTTGGGGAACAACCCACAGGGAAGATCGTACATGGTGGGGTTTGGGAACAACCCACCGACGCAGGCGCACCACCGCGGCGCGTCGGTGCCGGTGATGCCAGTCAACGCAGAAGTGAACTGCGCAATGAGTTTCGTGTACTGGCTGAACAAGGACACGCCGAACCCCAACGAGCTAACCGGCGCAATTCTGGGCGGCCCCGACCGCAGTGACAACTTCCTGGACAAGCGTGTGGTGTCACCCATGACCGAGCCCGTGACTTACACAAACTCCCTCGCCGTTGGAGTCCTCGCAAAGCTGGCCGCCCACAGGTTCACCTGAAAAATCAATTCCCGACAACATACCTTATTTAGGCGTTTTTAGTCTCTTCTTCTTAGAACAGTACAGTCCTAGCTAAGCTGGGTAGATTTGATGTGATTGGTGTTTCTAGAAAGTAGAGCTTACGAGATCTGGGGATTTCAAGACTTCCTTCCTTTTATTTATTTTAATTTTGTTATATTTATTTATAATATTTTCAAATCCAACAAATTTGACTCAAAGACAAACTATATTTATTTAATTACTCCCCTTAGCTTGTTTTTCATGGGACATGTTAGTTTTATCTATTGGTAGAATGATGGTAAAGAATTTCTTTATGGATGTAATTATGAGTTACTATGATGTCTCGATCATGAAAATGGACCCACCGAAGTAGTAGTGAATGGAGGGCATGTTAGTGTTCGTCGAGAAGGAGAGGGAAAACTACGCCCATTGTTTGGGAGACAATTTTTCTTGAATGGGCGTGTCAACCTTCAAATTTGATTCTTGAGACAATTTTTTAATGATTTAATCATAAACCAAATCCCTTTTCAGGGTAACGAGAGGGTGAGACCCCATTGTTCAAATTTTGAAATCAACCCTTAAAGAACAACTCATATACTTTTCTTATATGAGTAAATGAGTGAATTTCATCTCATGGTAGACATATTAAATCGACTATAAGAGTCATTTTTTACCCATGCAAATCAAAGGACGAATCTTATTAAAGGACAAATCCTAACCGACAGGAGTTTATGATTCTCTTATGATCTATTTGTTTATGATTCAATCATAAACTAAGTCTTTCTCGTGTCAGTGAGAAGGTGCGGTCTAATTGTTCAAATCACGAAATCAACACTTAAGGAAACTACCCATCTACTTATTGTTTATGAGAATGAGAGAATTCCATATTGTAAAATTATTATTACTTGAGAATCATGTATGTCAATCACATACGGTTCAAGATTACATTATTAACCTTGATTTTTTCATACAATAGATAATATTAAATTACTAATAAAATAATCAAAATTATTATTAAAAAAATTAAATAATTAATTACGCGGCTTTAGGACGTAAATCCAAATCGGCATGTGTGAAGTCATAGAGAGACCGAGAACCTATAAAGAGTGATGACTCCTCCATACTTGTTGGATTCACTTAAAGTTTAAGATAGATAAGGGCACTTCGACTCATGCGTAGGAAACTTGATGACTAAATGGAGTAAAAAATAGAAACGAAAAGCTAAATGCATCTAGAACTCGAGCAAAACATCTGGTTTTAGTACTTAACTTGCCGTTATTGGCCTAATTTTTCCATTTTCCTTTAGCTTAAGGTTCTTATTCATTTCCAAGCTATTCTTACTAGTAGAACTTGGGAAAATTTTAAGACAACTACTTACTTTACTCGGTTGACGTTTGTGACCTCGATTCTCAAGCCTTCAGTATTCAAATTGCTCTCAGTTTTCTTATGCAGTACCTAAGAGAGTTTATTTGTAGGAAATAAAGAGAGATCCACGAGAACTAGTATAGTTGAGGTGCAATTGTAAAAAACGGGAGCTGATTTGAATTTGGGGTGACATGGGCAGTTCAATTGAAGTGACCACATCATCGAGGAAAAGGACTTTTGATAATTATTGTCCACAACCTTTCTGTTGAGCTTCAACCCTTGATATATTCTACAAAGTTGTAGGAGTTGCAAGGAAGAAGAAGCGACCGAGCCCTACCATTGAAGGCGGGTAGAACGTAGTTAAAGTACTCCTAAAAATTAGTTCTTTCATCGACGTAAGCCCACGTTTTTTGTTCGTAGTCTAGGCACTTTCTAACCTTTTTAGTGCTTGACGTCTTCACCAATTCTGTTCCTCTCCTTCTCCTCGAGGACAAGTTCGTGTGGATGCTTACAATTTTGAAATGCGATTTCTACCTCTTATCTGAGCAGCTCGGTAGGAGCCTGGACTTGTTCATGAAAAACATCCATTTTAATTTCAAGAAATTAATAAAATAGTTTTAAAGCAATGAGAAGGACTGCCGAGGGAAACATTATAAGCGGAGAATCAATCATTCTTTTAGAAAAGGGCAAAATAGAGAGACAAAGCAGCAGAGGGGCAAGGGAGGCAGGGCATTAAAATAGCGAGGGTATTTTCGTCCAATAAATTATTAAGTTTTAACCTGACAATGCAGCGTGGGAAAATACCATAGCCGCCCGCCGTAAGCAAGCGCTGCATATGCTGTGTTCTCAAATCAGGAAGGCGAAGCTTCTCATTTCTTTTCATAGCCGCCGTGAAATAGTTTCATCCTCCAATCGCTTCCTTTCTTCACCTTCCCTCCGCCTCCTGCACAACAAACTCCAGAGCACTCAAGCTGCTTCAATGGCGGCGAAACATCCCAAAGACGAGGCCTACCTCAGTACCACCATTCCCAAGCGCATTCAACTTTTTCAGTCAATTCAAGCACAGCTGCTTGCCGACCGACGTTCTCTTCCTTCTCATCCAATCAAGTTAGTGTAGCATTGCAAAATGTGGAAATGGCTTGGCTATGATTGGATTTATCAAATCCGAATCTTATGTATGATTTTTTTTTTTTTTTTTTTTTTTTTTTTTTTTTTTTTTTTTTTTTTTTTTTTTTTTTTATTTTTNAGCTTAAGTCGTTGTCACCAATATATCCTTAATGAAAGTTCGATTCCGTCCTTTGAAGTCCAAGTCAACCTATGTGAGCCCATGACATCAGTTTCAAGTTTGAACTCTATACAGTTATTTCTCTCATTTACATTGGCTAGTGTTAAATTCGGATATTTCCTGTTAGATTAAATTAAATAGAGTTCCTTGCTCTCGATCTTTCCTATTTTATTTTTAAATTATATTCAACAAATCTTTCCTCAATCTTCCTTTTTTTTTTTTTTTCTTTTTCTTTTTTTTTTTTTTTTTTTTTTTTTTTTTTTTTTTTTTTTTTTTTACTTTTTAGTATTACCTTACCGGATGGGACGGTGAAGGAGGGCCAGAAATGGAAAACGGCTCCGGTAGACGTAGCAAGAGAAATCTCCAAAAGTTTAGCTGCAAACGCTTTGATTGCTCAAGTTGATGGAGTTCTATGGGACATGAGCAGGCCGCTAGAGAACGATTGTGAGCTTAAGCTGTTTACCTTCGACAGCGACGAAGGGCGCGATACTTTTTGGCATTCAAGCGCTCATATACTTGGACAGGTTGATAATCCTATCTATTCTCGTGCATTTAACAACGACCGTAACACTGTTTTAATTGTTTTCTTTTTTCTGGGTTTAGTCGCTTGAAATGGAGTATGGTTGCAAGCTGTGCATTGGACCCTGTACCACTAGAGGAGAGGTAAGCACACACACACACATATTTATTTTTTAACTTCTTTTATAAGAAACAATTTTGTTGATGTATGAAATTACAAAAGAATGGAAAAGAAAGATTCCAATTCAAAGGAGTTGCAATAAACATCTCCAATTGGACAAGAGAGAGGCGATATGAAAGAATTCAATTTACACCAAGAAATAGAAAGATAAAGGACATTATACTCAATAAAATCCTATAAGTAGTGTCCTTTGTATAAAATACCTTGGAGTTTCTTTCTGTCGATATTGACCACAAAAAAGCTCGAACATGATTCTTCCACAATAGATCCTTTCAATCTGAATGGATGACCCAATCAGAGAACACTTGGGGGAATGTAAGGATCCTTTGGAAGGACCACTGACCAATTGAAAGTTTTTCTTTAGTTGTTCCAAGAAGGTTGTGTTAACGGGCAGTGAATGAATAAATGAGATTGAGATTCCAAACTGTTCTTGGAAACAATACAATGGTTAGGAGACAAGGCCATGAAGGGGAGCCTTCTTTGAAGATGATCAATGGTATTGACAGCACGATGAGCAAGCTCTCATTAAAAAGAAATTTAATCTTCTTTGGGAAGATATCATACCTAATAGCCTCCGTAAAAAGATGGGAGCAATCTAACAGAAGATGAATCAATGCTGTTAAGTAATGATTTTGTAGAGAAAATCCCATTTATTTTGTGAAATTTCACCCAAAGTTCCTCATCCAAAGTCAAGCTAATGCTGGATTAAACAGTTCTCAAATCAGCCCATTCAACGACTTCCTTCAATTTTTTTCTTAGTTGTTGAACCCAGAAGGCCTAATCAGTGTGTCAAATATCTTTAACAGTAACCTGCTGCATTTTGGATAAGGATAAAATCCGGGGGAATCTGATGAATAAAGGAAGGTCTCCCACCCATCTATCAAGCCAAAAGTCAGTGGAAAGACCGTTGCTAACTTTTGTCAAAACATAATTGTGAGTTGAGGCATGGTGCTTGAACTCTCCTTCCATGCCCTCTGGTTATGGATTTATCCAAAATCTCAAGGGCATTAAATTAGTTATCAAGGAATAGAACAAGGCCACCTTTGGTTGCCTTACCACACAAAAGAACCAGCTCATAACAGAAATTTCTCTTATTGACAGCTTAGAGGAAGCTGGCGGCCTCCTTCCAATTCACAAAATTCAATGGAATTCTTTGAAGGAACAACTTATTTCTTGTGTGCCAAGGAAGAGACCCTTTGGAGGCAAAAAATGCAAGAATAAATGTCTGCAAGAAGGTGATATTAATACCCCTTTTTTTCACCGGATCATGCCACAAAAATGAAGAAAAATGCCATCATTGAGGTGCTGTATTCTGATGGTAAAAGCTGTCTTACTGATGCCGAGATTGAAAATGAGTTTATGAATTTTTTCACCAACTATACACCAAAGATCCTGGTCACCGATCCCTCCCACATATTTGTCAATGGGATCCGTTTACTCCACAGCAAGCTTCATCTTTGGGAACTGTATTTACTAAAGAAGAGATCAAGCATGCTGTTTCAGAATTAGGCACAAAAAGATCCCCGAGCCTCAATGGTTAGACAATTGAATTCCTTCAGAATTTTTGGAACATCCTCAAAGGTTGCACCATGAGGGTGTTCCAAGATTTTTTTTTTGTCAGAATGAGATTGTCAATACCTCACTAATAGACACCTATATCTGCCTTATTAAAAGAAATCCGATTCTCGTGTTGTTAGTGACTATA